CGCCTCAAGCTTCTCTATTTTATATCTCAGCGAAACAAATTGTTACGGCGTTCATATCTAGCTGAATGTTCCTCCCAAGAACATGGCTTTCATATATATTTTTAACAAAAATATCTAAATTATGACCCGGACCATCATTGCATGAACTGACGTGGAATCACCCTATTGCCAGCACGTTGGCGGTGCTTGTCACCTTAATTCATGTTATCACATCTGGCCAGGGCCCAAAGTAGTCATATAAACAAATCAAATCTAAAGACGTCGCTGACAAACTACAGCGAGTTTCCATAAAGCATAATGCACGAGGTATGTTTCCAAAAAGCATAATGCACGAGGAACGCCCCCCCCCCCCCCCCCCCCTTCCTATCATGCGATGGCCCTCGGCCTTTCAGGTGTGGGATATATGGCCCCCCCACTGAAATGAGTTTGAGACCACTGCTGTATAGGAACGCGGACCTAGCTGGAGCGCTTGGATCTCCTGGGCGGAGTCGAACGGATCGTCGTGTCGCATGCAAGGTCGGAAGCGTGTGTCTCAAACTACCGCGTGCGGCAATTCGGAACGGCGTTCGGACTGTCGGATCGGACGTCGGATCGGACTATTCTGCCGTCCATGTGCCTCGCGCTTTATACTGAGTCAGTGTTTGACAAACCGCATGTAAAACAAGGTTCTTGCACTAAGGTGCGAACCGGTAGATTAGCAAGAACGCTGGCTAAAAATGTACCCTTTATTTAAGTGAAACAAAAACTAAGTTTACTCACCGTAAAAATAAAGTACGCATCGCCCAACGCTCGGGAGATCTTTACCCAAATGTAAAACTATAGCGTTTGAGAACAGAGGAAAAAAAGTTCCAAAGCGCGGGCTTTTCTTGATTCAAACACTTTAATTGAATCTTCGGAAATTATTCATGAAGACATGGCGGTCAACGGAGCCCGAAAAACATTAAGACAAATGACGTCTGATACCGGAAAGAGCCCCACAACCTAACTGAAAATCCCCAAAAATTGTGTATTAATAGTTTGTAATCACAGTTCTAAAACTTCGGCATCTGCAAGTCCCACTTGCTTGCGCTACATTTAGGTGGACGATAAGCGGTCGGCTAAACGTAGATTACTTTCCTTGTGAGAAAAACATACTTCTCTTTTCTTTGAGGCACCAGGAATAAAAAATAAAGCTCGAGGTACACCTAAGCACTTCTTATGAGTTGTGAATGCGAAAGCATGCAAGCCGCTCGTCCGCTCCCTTTTTCGTCTGCTCGTCCGCACTAGAGTGCCTCAATGCCCGTCTGCTTAGGGTGATGCCATCGTTTGTAGTACCCGATGCCGACAGCACGAGCTCACAGGGAAAATACAGAGAAATCACAGGAAACAAAATGTCGCCTTAACACAGTCAGCGCCGCGAGCGCGTGCAGGGACACGCTCTTTCACGCGCTTCAGAACAAAAAAATAAAAATAAGCGTTCGAAACAAAATGGCCAGATGTCATCACCGCAAGCAAAGCCCACATGAAGGCACCCTAGTCCGCTCCCTTTGTCGTCTGCTGCGTACTAGCGCGCGCGCGCTTCGGAATCTCGGAGGCCATGGCGCAGCGGTCAATGGGAGCCCCGTCGACGCGCGCGAGCCAATGGAGCCGAAGGCGAATCACTCCTATTGGGATCGCGGAAACTAGGAGCCGTTTTCGCGCTTCAAACTGATGACGTCAGCTCGCTCCATGAGACAGCTAATGCTTTCGCATGAAAACACTGTCGTTTACAAACGAGGCCCATGTTGGACCACACCGGGCGTCGGCCAAGCGCATGAGCAGAAACGCGATTAGCGGGAAATGAAAAGTGTGCGTATGCGCCGTGGTGACGTCACAGCAAAGGCGTGACGTAAGATCCGTGTGCATGTGCATGCTCCCATAAATTGCGTCAATCTAAATACGTTTCACAAAAAAAAATAATTCCTTTTTAACATTAATGTATAAAGGATGATGTCATTGCTGAGAGAAAACGTCTTGTTGTTTAGTTCGACAAGCACAGGCTTATGATTATCAGGCAAAAAAAACATCTGACGGCAGTTTCGACCAGAAACGTCAATGATAGTATTAAGAAAGTACTTGAAAGTCAATTACGGTTCTTTGCGTTATTAGCTTGGGAAATTTTAGAAAGCTCTTGTCGAATTCAGTGCATCACAAGTTTTCTTGCATAATGTTCTTTGTACTAAAAACAAATCCTGAATAGAAACGTGCGGAAGAGTCGTTTATCCTGGGAACATAAGTAGCAATGCGGGGCGGGCATTTAGCTATTCTCGATGAATAAACAGTTTATACCCAAAAAATGCATTTAATAGTAATAATAATAATAATAATAATAGTAATAATAAGCTTTTATTTCCTTTTTTTTCATTACAAAAGGAAAACAAATGTGCAAAAGAGGGCAAAAAGCTGCTGCTGCAGCTTGACGAGGCCCTAGTTCCCATACACACCTTGGCGGAAAGTCAGCAGAAAACAAAAATACACTAGACCCAAAAAATCAAATATACAGCAAAAATCAAATATACACATTTATTCAAGATGCGTGCTAGGAGTTCGGCGCTGTTATTATTTTAGGTGGATGTTACATTCATTAATCATGGCAAGTAGAAATTCCTTATTTTTCAAACGTTGTTCATAGAAAGCAATGCAAAAACAAAATCTAGGGCTTATTTATTTATTTGTCTTCTGTCTAGAAGCGACCGAGTCCTTAGTACTTGCACACACTCAGGCACAGACATACACTTTCATGACAAAAAAACACACACACACAAAATAACAGAATATAGAGGTTTTTCTCTGTAAATTAGGAATAATAAGAAGGCATCTCTAGCTGACATTTTACAAATATTGTTTAACATTGTGTTATTGCGTTCAGTACATCATACGTGGTATGTACATAACAATGTATCAAGTTGTTTGGCTGAAATAAATTTTTTTAACAATTTGCAGATAATAGTTCGGATTTCGCAGGGGCATATGTTTCAGAATGTTGGGAATGCCTAACCCCAGCAAAAGGTAATAGAGCTTGATGACCGAAGTGGCTTGTTTTGTTCCTATTGCCAGGGTTACTGCCGTTCCTAACAAAATTACTGCTCATTTTTGGTTTTAAAAAGAAAACATTTCAAGTATGACGGATAGCCAATTTCGAAACTCGCGTCGCCGAGCGTGGCCGAATGGTTACCGCGCTGACTGTCGCGCGGAAGGTTAGGGTTCGATTCCAGGTAGCGAAATGTTCTTTTATTTATTTTTTTTTTTTCTATTCCTCGTTTTCGCAAGTTCGATAACTTTCTCGTCTCATTGAGTTAGGAATATTGTACGCGCCGAACGTTCTTGACCGAATGTTTCAGGAACCCACGCAGGTACAAAAGGTGCTCCGCGTGGCGAGCCGGAGTCAGTCTCGCCCCAGCGTTCGAACCTCCTGTTAAACGGGTTTCACATGCGGCGATTTTGGACCTAGAGCGGCGAGATTTTGTGCCGTCGCGGCGATCTGGCCAGCCGCAGCGGCTGAGCGGCACGGTTCCGCCAAGTTGGAAATTTTTCGCCGCGGCAGAGCGGCAGCTTCCACGCTGTCCACTCAGAGCACGGCGGGAAATCACGTGACAGGAGAAACACTGCGGGAAAGCTGGCGCATAGGACGGTGGCGCTTTCACGTTCCTGACGCAGACGACAAGCAGAGAAAGTACGCAAGCGACTGGTTCGCGGTTTCTTTTTTCCAGTGGGTGTTCTTTGCTTCAGCAGTCGCGTCGGAACTGTTCGGGAGATTATTGAGGAGGGGGATTGCTGTCCCCTTCCTCGGAATTCGTTTTCCTCAATAAATTGCACGTTTCTTTCTTACTTTCCTCGCCTGAGTACCAACTGTAGCGAGCGCAAGAGACGCTAATCGGAAGCGGTTTGTGCGAGCGTGAGAAAAACAAAAGAAGAAGATGAAGACCTGAGCGACATTCACGTGTCTTTTCTAAGAACAGATCGTCACACCAAGTAAGACAAAATATATCACGCCCAGTTCAATGAACTGCTTATCAGTGGAGTGTCGAAGCGTCGAGTTCTTTGGAGGTTCGGGTCGGCCATATCAGTTGGAGTCGTTACATCCGAGGAAGGCGCTGCCCGTGACGCTGCCGAGGATGATCCGAGGTTTTATCCTCCGTAACAACGAAATTTGAAAAAAAAAAAAAAATACAGCATAAACAAATAAGACGGTGTATTTAGTATTTTGAACTTCTTTTTTTTTTTATTAAGGTGAAATTAAAGGGTACTGAAAACTAAGGCATTAAAATTGTTGTTAGAAGCCGCTGTAACCGACTGTGCGCATCTGTTTGCTACAAGCAACATTGGCCATCGCAACGCCAGAAAAGGTTCATGGGAAATGAAACCTCGCGATCCGTGCCACCGCGCCGCTAGCGGCAGCGATTTCGGCCGCGGAATCACCGCATGTGAAACAACGCCGACATCGTCACCCCGCGACGCCCTGTTGTTATCGTCCGTTTCCTTTTTGTTTTGTGCACAAGTTCGCCTCATTAAGCGTTTGTTTCCTCAGTAATTCTTTCTTTCCTCACCTCGAGAACTGCTTGGTTACGCAATATCAAGCATGATTAGCTATTTCTTTTTGTAGCTTCTGCTAGCAGAGGCACAAATATATGTGTATATTCGAAATAAATAGAATGACGTACCCCTGCACATGGTGCAACCTAATTATATTTATACCAAATGATATGTGACAAATAATTAGCGCGCGCCACTCTTAGAGCACAGCGTGGCACGCCGACGCTCGTTGTCAGGATCGAGTAGCGGTGGGCATGCACAGTTGCAGTGCGAACCTCTATGCTGTATTGGAGATTCAAAGCTTTGGGGCCCTTATTCTATAACTCTCTAATGTCGTTCAGTGAAGTGTCATTAAATTTACAGTATGGCAGGGATGAGACTTTTTTTTTCAGTCAGCGTTTTGTTTTTCAACTTGGGTATGACTTGTAATAGAATTTGCGTATAAATACCCAAATAAAGAAGCTCCTCGGTGATTGCCTTCCCGATCCCCGTTGCTCCTCCTGTTACCACGGCCACTTTGTTCTTGAAAAGACCCGGTCTGAAGATGCTGCGCAAGCGCCGAAGCCCAGTTTGCCCGCTCATCTCGACGTGTGTGGCACCTTTGCCGGTTCGGAAAAGCTTCGTACAG